TCAACTCCTCTTGCACCCAAGCTTCAGCTCCTGTTCGCTTCAATAGACCAATATAAGAAAAAACTAATGCAACAATATCATCAGCGTGATTGAGGCCATCTGAAATGCAATTCATTGAAACCGGTTTCAAGCAGATTTGCACTTACCTATGCTCAAATCAACATGGATGTCGAATGCAGAGAAACCTTTGGCTAACGTGGTCTCACCAGCCGAAAGCGAGCTAACCCAACCTAGCCGTTTGAGCTCCGACAGTAAAGATCCTTTTCCTTCATGACCGAGCAAATGTGCTGAAAACAATCAGTTCAGTTATATAAAGCAAAAAAGCGATGTTCAAAACTGGCAATGGCTTTTCTCGAAGACAAGCTCACAGATATAAAATTACAACTAAATGCAAACCTTGCCTCACCCAAAGCAGTTTTGAACTAAACCCAAAAATAGTTTTACGAAAGTCCTTTGGTAGATAAAGAAGACAGACTTCGAATCAGTACTTCAAAAACAAGTAAAATCAAAAAATATCTCACATATGTAATGAGCTGGATTGGATTTATACTCATCCGTAAGATCAGGTATTGTAAAGCGAATATTAAGACTACGAGAATCCTTGATGGGAACGACCTAAATCGTGCAAATCTTGCAAGGAAAAAAGTTAAGAATAACAGCGAATAAAAAACTTACCTCAACCCTCTTTTTCAATTGATCCTCCCCGTAAGGACTATCGTTCCACTCTTTGGAGTTTACTTTTTTGTTCAAAATGGCGTCAAAACCGAGCGTTCCCAAGCTTGCTTCCATCTCATCAAGTGATTCGGCACCCACGATACAAAGTGACATCCTAGGAAAGGAAGGCCTTTCGCGAAAAACGAGCGTATAGACAACGATACCTACAAGTTTGAGCTATACCACTCTTTGTGGAATTTGAGTAATGCTTCGCGAGGCTCGATACCCTTCTCACGAGCGTCGTCCATCAAAGTTTTCTGGAAAAAACAAAATAGTACATTTTCAAAAGAAAAGCGTTTGAAGAGGCTAACCTTGTTACCGGTTCCAAATTTTCCGTAATCGTGGCCAGGTTTGGAAAGATACCTAAAGTAGCATATTACGGGTAAGACGATTTCATGTTGAAAATCCCATATCTCAGGCAAACTGCTCACGAAACACTGACCTTTCCACTTGGAGTTTCCTCCAACCATCGCTTTTGATGTTGTTTGAGTGTTCTGAGTCAACAGCACAAACCGAAAACAGAGAAGCGTTTTATGTCTTTCAAATGATAAGCAATATACAGAAACTTACTTCCCGTTCCGTCGCACTTTCAGTAAACTGTGGGGCTAGGAAGAACTGCACGAAACGATCAAGGGCACCCTAAACGTAGACAATACTGAAATGACAAGACGAGAAATGATTCTAAATAAGATTGAGCGACAAAAGAAACGATAGTACAACTCCAGACAGAAATTGGGATTGCTCCTAGAACATCAAAAATGCTAAAAATGCGCTAATTGGTGCTTATCAAAGAATAAGAGTTGCGCCTCTTGACAACACTTCTAACACATTCACGACAAGGCCGATTTTCGCAATATTAAAGGATAAAGGATAAAGGATTCGGCGTCTTCAT